ATCCAAGAAGCTCAAAAGATAGATCGATCGACAAAAGCTATCCCTACTCAACGAACCGGGCGAATTCACACACTTCCCCAGAAACAACAACAGAGCAACCATCATCGACCTGACCCTGATCAAAGGACCTATCCTGGACCATGACGTCCGCTGGAACATCGACTGCCACGGCGCAGGCTCCGATCATGGGAAAACCATAGTACAATTACGGATAGAAAAACCCCCCCACATACCCAGAAGACTATGGCACCGAACGAACTGGGAAAAACTGGAAGAAAACATCTCAGGCCTCCAATTCCCCCCCGAGGCGTGGGAATCCCAGAATCATACAAAGCAATCAGTCGACTTCATACTTGAACATATAGATAACCTAATAGATCAAGTCACCCCATGGAGACAAGGATACATCAAATCCAAAAAATGGTGGACCCCGGAGCTGAAAAAGCTCAAAACAACCCTCAACATAGCGGAAAGGAAAGCCAGGAAAACCCAAAAAGATGAGGACAGAGAAACACTCAGGAAAACGAACAGGAAATGGACATCACTGATCCGCAAAGCCAAAGCAGAACAAAGGGAGAAGGAACTCGCAGAGGCTAAAGGAAGCACCATATGGAAACTAGTCAATGCAGGAAGAAGAAGGGATGTTACAATCCCAACCATACAAGGTGAAGAAACGTTTGCGGGGAAGTGCCAAGCTCTAAGAGCCCAACTCTTCCCCACAAATTGGACGTCCCCCAACAACCCCCCACTCCACATCAGACCCCCATCCTTTGATCTTAGTGACACTTTCCAAGAAGTTACACCAGAAGAAATCACATCCGCAATCAAATCATGTCCAACACACTCGGCCACCGGCCCCGACGGCATCCCATACCCATTCATCCAGGCCACAATCAAAGCAAACACTCAACTATTTCAAGACATGTTCACAGCCATGCTCCGCCATGGAGTCCAACCAGACCGATGGAAAGTGGCAAAATGTGTACCAATCCCAAAACTAGGAAAACCCGACTATTCATCGGCCAAAGCCTACCGACCAATTTCCCTATTGCAATGCTTCAGGAAGGTACTGGAAAAAATAGTGGCAACAAGACTATGCACAGCAGGATCCATCCTGGAAACCCTCACCAAAGACCAATTCGGAGGCAGACCAACAATCTCAGCGATCGATGCCCTACTCCGCACCCTCACACCCATTCAACAAAACCTCCTAATCAAACAAATCACAGGAACTACCCCAGACAGACCAGCCCTCCTCACAAATGATATACAAGGAGCCTTCAACTGCGTGGACCACCTTTTACTCGCAGAAATCATGACCCAACAAAAATTCCCGGCCTACCTAACCAACTGGTGCAAGGAATTCAATACCAACCGAACTTTCCAATTCCAGTTCAATCATGAACTGGAAACCCCACAATCATACAACTCAGGACTGCCCCAAGGATCCCCCCTATCCCCAGTCCTATTCATGATATACGCAGGAGTCATAACAGACCCCAGCAACTCCAACAAAGAACTCAACACTACCTATATCGATGATGACGCGCTCGTTCAAATCGCAAAGACACCTCTCTACGCCACTAAAAGGCTAAACGAAAGAATGGCTGATAGGGTAAAAAAGGCAACACCCCTCAACATCAAATATGAACCACAGAAATCCGATCTCATCTTCTTCAAACCCACAACATCGAAGCTCCCCACACCAAAACACCCAGTCATAATCGCAAATGAGGAAATCTACCTCAAAGACAGGCTCAAATACGTTGGAATATGGCTAGACTCAACCCTCTCCTTCCGACCACACATCGAAGAAACCATTGCCAAAGGCCTCCGAGTACTAGGGCAAATCAGGAATATAGCACACCTCCCTGGATCAACAGTTAAAACCATACACCATCTTGTCGTCCAAGGCCTCCTCCCTACAATCCTATGGGGATCAGAAGCATGGTGGACAGGAGCGGACCACGTTCTAAGATCACTCCAACCACTATACAACCAAGCAGGCAGGGTCATAACCGGCCTGCCCCGCGGGACAAAAACCGCAAAACTACTCAAAGAGGCAGCACTCCCACCATTGGAACAACTCCTCACCCAAAAGACACGTAAATACGGCACTCGAATTCTTTGCTACCCGGCTGACCACCCCCTCAACAAAGAACTCATCCAACTCCTCCGCAGCAAGACAAAGAACACCAAAGGCACGGGACTCCACCGAGTCGCAACACTCATGCTTCCCTTCCAGGAACCAGGAAACCGTAGAGAAAGATGGATACAAAACGATCTCATCACCAAGCGCATGCTGGAGGAATGGAACTCCACCCCAATCACCAATTACCACGAACCAGGAACCCTCAAAGTCAACCTCAAACGAGCAAAACTCCCAATCTCCAAGGCAAAACTGATACACCGCATACGATGTCAGGTCACCAGACTAGACAGACATGCAGCATATACAGAACCCGAGCCCTGCCAATGCGGCTCAGAACAATCTTCGAAACACACCATAGTCGAATGCCCCCGATGGACACAAATCCGAAGGCCACTGATGGATAAAATCCCGGGACCACATACTTGGGAGAACTGGCTCTTCACGAACCTAAACATAGACCTTATACTACAATTCGCAGCCAAAACAAACCTACTGGACTGGTGTAACGGGGGCAGACTATCTATGTATCGCTAGAATCCAATAGAATAGGTGCGGCCTTGCAAGATAGAAATCAGGTGCAGATTTATTCAAAGATACTATCGCCAGAACTCAATAATCTTTAAGGGCTCTGCTACCGATAATGATAAAGATGAGGATCAGGACAGTTGGGCGGGAATGTTCCTGAGTACTTATACTCCAAAGGACTCTATTCTCTGCTCCTCCTTCCTTACTAAGTTCCGGTGCTGCCTTCTAGCAGAAAGGAAGCAATACCATCGCTACCCTGCTTCTCTCTAAGCGTCAGCGAGTGCTTCCGGTTCCGAAGGCAACCACCCTTAGTCAAAGCCTTTGCAACACCTGCAGTCTTGGTTGCCACACAACTGGGACCTGCATGAATGAGCTGCCGCTCAGGTGTAAGCTTAATCACTGCTGTAGAGCTTTCGCTTATTGTAGACTTCCCGGGCATAGTCCCTACCACTACCGGCGGACTTCTAATGCTCAGAGGATGTAGAGGATCGCCGAGCACTCAGAGCTTCACTCTGGCTGGCCTTCTAATCATTGGCGAGGCCCAGACTCGTCAGTCATTGCTCCCATGAGTAGATCCTCTTCCTAGCGCTCAGAATGTAGTTACTCTGACAGCTGGTAGCTAACCACACTGCCGGTACTTGCATATCACTGTGCAACTGGCTTCTAACAATAACTCTCAGCATGTAACCGGGCCCTGTGTGTACTCATACAGCAGACAGTTGAAATGGCTCCGTTACATGCACCCACTCTACAACGAAGAAGCCAGGGTTCTAACTGGCCTGCCCCGCGAGACAAAAACCGAAAAACTACTCAAGGAGGCAGCACTCCTCCCACTGGAACACCTCCTCACCCACAAGACCCGAAATATGGCACACGGATTCTCTGCTATCCAGCTAACCATCCCCTCAATGAAGAACTTATCCAACTCCTCCCCAGCAAAACAAAAAACACCAAAGGCACGGGACTCCACCGAGTCGCAACACTCATGCTTCCCTTCCAGGAACCAGGAAACCGCAGAGAAAGATGGATACAAAACGATCTCATCACCAAACGCATGCTGGAGGAATGGAACTCCACCCCAATCACCAACTATCGCGAACCAAGAACCCTCAAAGTCAACCTCAAACGAGCAAAACTACCAATCTCCAAGGCAAAATTGATACACCGCTGTAACGGGGGTCTATGGACGTAGGGACTATAGTGACAAGGAATACAATCGAAGCGAAGACGTAGTAATGTAATGGGGGCAGCCTATCTATGTATCGCTAGAATCGAATAGAATAGATGCGGCCGTGCAAGATAGAAATCAGGTGCAGATTTTATTCAAAGATACTATCGCTAGAACTCAATAATCTTTAAGGGCTCTGCTTCCGATAATAGGAGATGAAGATTCAGGACAGTTGGGCGGGAATGATCCTGAGTACTTATACTACAAAGGATTCTATTCTCTGCTCCTACTTCCTTACTACGTTCCGGTGCTGCCTTCTAGCGGAAGGGAAGCAATACCATCGCTACCCCGCTTCTCTCTAAGCGCCAGCGAGTGCTTCCGGTTCTGAAGGCAACCACCCTTAGTCAAAACCTTTGTAACACCTGCAGCCTTTGTTGCCACACAACTGGGGCCTGCATGAATGAGCTGCCGCTCAGGTGTAAGCTTGATCATTGCTGTAGAGCTTTCGCTTATTGTAGGCTTCCCAGGCATAATCCCTTCCGTTACCGGCGGACTTCCAATGCTCAGAGGATGTACAGGATCGCCGAACACTCAGAGCTTCACTCTGGCTGGCCTTCTAATCATTGGCGAGGCATAGGCTCGTCAGTCATTGCTACCATGAATAGATCCTCTTCCTAGCGCTCAGAATGTAGTTACTCTGACAGATGGTAGCTAACCACACTGCCTGTACTTGCATGTCACTGTGCAACTGGTTTCTAACAATAACTCTCAGCGTGTAACCGGGCCTTGTGTGTACTCATAAACCAGACAGTTGAAATGGCTCCGTTACACTACTCCCCTCTTCCAGGATCTTGGTCTCCGAGATCTATAATCTGTATCTATTGCTATACTATGTGACAAAGAAACTCCTTTGGTGTGGAAGGGGACGAGAATCTAAAGGAGATGCTACTGGCCTTGAGCCCTCTTGTCTCTGGGCTTCTTGGGATACCTCATATGGAAATCTCGGAGGGCTTCTTCAGCACTCTTTCTGAGATGCTCCCAGGGTTCCCATGTAGCATCCTCATTCTCATAACCTTCCCATAACACCAAGTATTCCTCCCTTCTCTTCTTCTTATTGACTCGGCTATCGGCTACTTCCCGGACGATCCAGTTCTGTTATCCTGCAATTTCCTCAGGTTCCGGTGGAGGAACTCTTCTCTCAGGGTCTAATGGCGATCTGTAGGGTTCCAGGAGAGAGACATGGAAGACAGGGTGGATTCCCATTTGAGGGGGAAGAGAGAGCTTGTAGGCACGGGTACCAATAGCTTCTAAGACCTTGAAGGGTCCCATCTTCTTTTGATCCAATTTTCCCAATGGTCGCTCAGTTTGCACATTGCGCCGGTCTAGCATAACTTCATCTCCGGGCTTAATTTCAGGCGGTGCCAGGGCATGTGCATCATACCACCGGGCCATCCTCAGTCTAGCCCTTCCCAAGCTTACATTCATAGCCTGCCAGATAGATTCCCATTGAGATACCATGACCTCGCTTGCTGGATTGTTCCATTCAACACCTTCCTTTGGGGCCGGCCAATTGGTCCTGGGTTCATATCCATAGTTGGCATAGAAAGCCGATACTTTGGTAGACTCAGAGACCGCCGAGTTGTATGCATACTCTGCCAAAGGCAAGAGGTCCGCCCAGTCATCCTGTTGATATGAACAATAACTCCGCAAGTAATGTTCCAGGGTCTGATTAACTTTTTCTGTCTGGCCGTCCGTTTGGGGGTGGAAAGAAGTGGACATCTTTAGCTTCACATTGAGGAGGCTCATGAGAGATTGCCAAAAGTGAGAAATGAACCTGCTATCTCTGTCCGAGACTATGTCATCAGGTAACCCATGGAGTTTCCAGACTTCCTTCAAGAACAACTTAGCCAGATCTTCCGTTTTATTGAGTGTAGGAAGTGGGATGTAATGTGCCATCTTTGAGAAGCGGTCCACTATTACCCAGATCTTTGTAAACCCATCTGACTCCGGTAATCCCACAATGAAGTCCATGGAGATAGAAGTCGATGGCCGATAAGGTATCTCCAGTGGTTGGAGCATACCGAACTTCTTATGTCTTGAGGTCTTATTCCTCTGGCAGCTATCACAGCTCCGGACATATTCCTCAACATCCTTATCCATGTTGGGCCAAAAGAAGTTATTTTTCACCCGCTCTAATGTCTTGAACTGGCCGAAATGGCCTGCCACTTTAGAATCATGGGTATCGGTCAGGATATCCATCTGCAGCTTCTTGTCTTTGGGAATATACCATCGATTCTTATAGAAGATGAGGCCGTCCTTGACAGACAAGTTCTGGTCCAGGTTTGGTTTCCTTTCAACCAGGGAGCGGTGCAGTTCCTGCCAGATTCCATCCTCTTTAGCTGCCGCAGATAGGCGCTCTAAGAATGTATTCTGCAATTGATTCACCCTGACAGCCGCTAGCTTAACAGGATCCAAAACCAATTGACCTGGCCTAAAAAACATCTGTGGCTCTGGCCGCAGGGTTTCACTCCCCTCTTCAGGGCGGTGGTCCCAACGCCTAGATAGCACATCAGGTTTGCCATTCTTTTCTCCCGGTCTGTAGACAACTTTAAAATTATAGCCTGCTAGATCCTCAGACCATCTAGCTTGCCGCCTAGTGAGAACCTTGGTAGAGTGGAAGTACTCTAAGTTTTTTGTGGTCTGTGAAAACCGTAATCTCATGCTCACAACTCTTGAGCATATACTCCCATTCCCGGAAAGAGGCTACAATAGCTCCCATTTCCTTGTCATGAATGTCGTAGTTGATCTCAGCCGGGGAGAACTTCTTAGAATAGAAAGCTACCAGGTGTAGTTTCCCATCTTCCCCATACTGAGAGAGCACCGCTCCTTTGGCAAAGTCGCTGGCATCAGTTTCAACCACAGTTCTTCTGCTAGGGTCAAAATGGAGAAGGATTGGAGCGCTTGTGAATAGCCTCTTGAGTTCCTCAAATGCTTGTTCACAGGCTGCGGTCCAATACCATTTCTTGTCATTTTGCAAGAGGTCGGTCAGAGGTTTGCACACTTTACTGAAGCCTTCAATGAAGCGGCGATAGAAGTTTGCAAATCCCAGAAAGCCTTGCACTCCCTTAATATTTCGGGGTACTGGCCATTCCTGAACCGCCTCCACCTTGTCCTCTGACATAGATACTCCCTTTTCCGAGATGTGATAGCCCAGGTATTCTACTTCTCGGACATGGAAGGATGTCTTGCTGATGGAGGCTCACAGTTTTGCTTCTCTGAGCTTCTGTAAGACCTTCTCAACCAGTCTTTCATGCTCTTCCTCAGTCTCTGAGTAGATGAGGATGTCGTCGATATAGACAACCACTCCTTCATCCAGTAGTTCCTTTAGCACATCATTGATCATTGCCTGGAAGGCGGAAGGGGCGTTGCATAGACCAAATGGCATCACATTATACTGATACAGTCCATAGCGGGTTCTGAAAGCGGTTTTCCATTCATGCCCTTCTGCTATCCTGATCAAATTGAAGCCATTCTTCAGGTCTATCTTTGTGAAGATCTTGGCCTTGAACAACCTATCCCTGAGCTCGCTCATGATAGGCAGCGGGTACTTGTCCTTGACAGTTACCTTGTTCAAACCTCTGTAGTCAACCAAATTTGCCATGTCCCATCCTTCTCAGGTATGAACAATATGGGCGCCGCTGCTGGGCTGTTTGATCTGGAGATCTTCCCCAAAGATAATTCTTTATCTAGGTACTCGCGGAGGGCCTTCAACTCAGGAGCGGAACATGGGTATAGCGGGCCAAATGGGGGAGCGGTACCAGGCAAGAGATTGATCTTCAAATCATTCCGAGAGTGCGGAGGCAGCTCCTGTATTTTCTCTTGACTGAATACATCAGCCCATTCCCTATAGCGGAGAGGTATCCTCTCAGCGATATCCCCTCCATCCTCATCATGCCATACTGAGGCAGCCAGTTGATACACTACATCTTCTTCTTCCATCATTTCGTATGAAGAGATGAGTTCAAACTTGATTGCCGCTGGGAGACAGTTCTGCTTGCAGTAGTCACTTCTCCAGCTTATGGTATTGAGTTCCTAATTGATATCCGGGTTATGCTTCCTTGCCCATGCAATTGGCAGGTAACCTGATATTCCTTCTTCCAAAGTAGCCACCTCCCATCGGAGGGTCTCCTTGTGATCTCCCATGCTCATGTGGACTGGGTGAGTGTAATACTCTCCTCCGCCCATCATGACATCTCCTTGAGCATCATACATTGTCAGGGGTTGATCTCGCCGCACTAAGGGAACTCCATGCTTCCTGACAAAACTCTGGTTGAGGATTGCTCCTGTACAACCGGTGTCAAAGAGGAATGTCCCTTGGGCATCTTCAACTTTATTCTTGACCGTCCATGACAGTCCTGCTTTCAGTATTGGCCTCTTGCCATGTACTGGTAAGGATGGAAGCTTCTCTTCTAACCTTCTTCGCTTCTGTGCGGGTTCTGGGCTTGATTCTCTTTGTCTTTTCTCCATTGCTTAACAGTTGCGGGCACTACTAAGATCAAAAAGATCCTTTGGTTCTATTCACAAGTGATGATAAAGCAAGTATTTGTGTGGTAGTCTGGTAGCGGTTTTGGAAGTGTCTTGTAGCAAATGTAATTTTGACAAAGCACTTACAGACCAGCTGTTTCGGGTCATAAACCCATCCTCAGAGTGCTTAGAAACAATCAAATAGGCGGAAAACACAAAATTTTATTCAAGAGAAACAAAGAAACAAGACCCAAAAGAAAACTAGTAAACATAGACTCTTAGACAGACACACTTTCTACCAGATGATTTCATTGTCCGAGTCTTGCTCAGGCTGAAAGACGAAATCTCCTGTCACCTCTGGGAGTACAACAAGTGGTTCCTCTGCTACAACCGCAGCCACTTTAGCTTTCTTCTGAGGATTGGTCTTGCCATTTCCTCGTTTCCGCTTTTGTACCCTCACTGCTGCCACTCGGACTACAGTAGGTTCCCTGGACCAACAGTCGGTCCATTTGTGTCTGGACTTGCCGCACTATTGTACAAGTCAGTCTATGCACTCTACCAATAGGGAGTACCGGAAGGTCATACCTTCAAGCATACTTCTGCTTTCCTTCTTTCTTCTAGAATATTCCCCGGGATACCCTTCAGTTCCACCGCTCTGTCTTTGGAACTGGTTTCCTTCTGAGGTTTGGAGGAGCTTGAAGCTTCTCTTTTCCTCTTAGGTAGCCGTTCCTTCTCAGCAAGGGGATCTTTCTTGGTCCTGGCGGGTGCTTTCTCAGCTACTACCGTTTGGTACCTTTCATGGGTGTTTCCTAGCTCTCTCAGAGCAGCTATCCGCTCCATCAAGGACTTTGGCTTGGGGGTAAAGAGAGCCCAACTCATGCCTAGATCCGGAAGGAGAGAACTAAGGATCTTATCATCCACTAACTGACCCTCATAGCCAGTCTTCCACATCAGTTGAATAATACTATTCAGGAAGGAGTCGATTCCTCCCTTAGCTGTGTGGGTGAGGGTATTCCATTGGGCTACCGCATCATCCCTAGAGATGGCTTCACCAAAGGCTGCTCTGAGAGCATCCACAAAGGAATTCCAGCGCTTCCATCTCTCATCCAACACCACAGGCATCCCAGCTATCCGGTTGGCAGAAGCTTGGTCAATGGAGTTGTGGTAGGCTTCATATCATTTGACCGGAGCATCTCCTTCCATCAGGTTGCCAGGGTAACGAATCCTAACCTCTTCAGAGGTAAAGGACCGGCTTTCAATGGAGAAGACATTCTCACATTACCGGATGAAGGTTTCCACATTATCTGCTTTACCATTGAACTTCGCCGGAGGGGGTGCCTTAGGTTCTCGGGCCCTGGAGGCGGCGGAGGGGTATGAGGGGGCCGGAGGTCTCATGAACTGGGCCATGGAGGCCAGGAGTTCTTTCTGTTGCTTTTCCAACTTCTTCCTAAAGTACCTCCGCCATCCTCTTCTGTCACAATCCTCAGGCTCCGAGTCTGAACTATCTGAGTCTCCTCCTGGGTTGGGAGCGCCACCAACCGGGGGGACAATTCCATCTCCTCCACCATTACCCGCTGGTCCTGGGTTCTGGTCTTCTCCACCAGGGTTTCCTTCTGGCTGGAGGTTCCTCCTAGGTGACTCCGGGGGTGGTGAGCACCTGTGGGATTCTGGGGATAACCCCTGGCGAACCCAGGCTGGAGGAAGCCCAGAGGGACCACCTCTAACCGGTGTCTGGGAGTAGTAGTCATCGTCTCCTATCGGCTGTCGGGGGGGCCTGGCTAGGCCACCTGCCAAGGGGCTTGCTGGGGCTCTTTGAGGAGGGAGGGGTGAGCCTCGAATGGCCGATGGCATCATCAGAGGAAGAGTTCTCTGCCTGCTGGACCTGACCGGAAACGCTGCAAAGGGATTCACCCTTTGGTGGAAGGTTCTCAGGGCCGCTCTGGACGAGGCCCTGGAGTCCTGTGGAGGTGCGGGGTTGGGGACAGGTGCTGGTGTGGGCATTCTGGCGATGGAGAGCCTTCCTTCATTGATGGCTCTCTGAATATCCTCCAGGAAGTTTGGGGGCATCGCCGGGTTTGTCCATTCAATGTCCTCCATCTCATCTGCTCCTAAGTCATCTCTCTGAGCATAACTCTGGAGTTGTGCCTGGACTGAGGAGACTTGTTCTTGCATATAGCCGAAGGCATTCCGGAGCAGGACCGCCTCAGCTTCTTGTCTTTCTTGCACTAAGGCTAGTGCATTGCCGGCCTTGATGACTTCCTGTTGCAGGCTGTGCTTAAGGTAGCGCTGTAACTCCGCAAAAAAGTCCTGTAGGGTGACTTTATCAGTATCTTGCCAGGTGGGCTCACATCCGGGGATGTAGGACTGGAGCGCCGTCCTGGGCTTGTGGATCAACTGTGTCTGACCCTCTTGAAATTCTGAGGCTGCCGGTTGCCATTCAATCTGAAGAGGCACTTGGGGAGCCGGGAGGGCGGACATGTTATAGGAGGAAGAATAATCTGAGGGTGATTTGAGCACTAAAGATTATCTGTAACGGGGGCAGCCTATCTATGTATCGCTAGAATCCAATAGAATAGATGCGGCCGTGCAAGATAGCAATCAGGTGCAGATTTATTCAAAGATACTATCGCTAGAACTCAATAATCTTTAAGGGCTCTGCTACCGATAATTCTAAATAAAGATGAAGATGAGGATCTGGACAGTTGGGCGGGAATGATCTTGAGTACTTATACTCCAGAGGACTCTTTTCTCTGCTCCTACTTCCTTACTAAGTTCCAGTGCTGCCTCCTAACGGAAGGGAAGCAATACCATCGCTACCCCGCTTCTCTCTAAGCATCAGCGAGTGCTTCCGGTTCCGAAGGCAACCACCCTTAGTCAAAGCCTTTGTAACACCTGTAGCCTTTGTTGCCACACAACTGGGGCCTGCATGAATGAGCTGCCGCTCAGGTGTAAGCTTAATCGTTGCTGTAGAGCTCTTCACTTATTGTAGACTTTCCCAGGCATAGTCCCTGCCACTACGGGCGGACTTATCATGCTCAGAGGATGTAGAGGATCGCCGAGCACTCAGAGCCTCACTCTGGCTGGCCTTCTAATCATTGGCGAGGCATAGGCTTGTCAGTCATTGCTCCCATGAGTAGATCCTCTTCCTAGCGCTCAGAATGTAGTTACTCTGACAGCTGGTAGCTAACCACACTGCCGGTACTTGCATGTCACTGTGCAACTGGCTTCTAACAATAACTCTCAGCATGTAACCGGGCCCTGTGTGTACTCATACACCAGACAGTTGAAATGGCTCCGTTACATCGCGGTCAATTCGTCTATCGTACAAGTGCTTTTATCTAACACTCGTCGATCTCGCCGGGAGACGAGGCTTAGATCCTCAACATGTCCGGTTATTACCGATCTCCTAGAGTTGGATGGTGGTAACTCTGTATATGCTCGGAGAGTTTCTTGGAAACCTGTCCGATCACGGAGTGCTGTCAGGTAGGCATGGTTCAGTGGGGCTTGTAACCTCCTCTTACCCCCGCTAATGTTTCCACAGACAAGCTGTTCCTCGAGGTTTGGAGACCTCGACCTTCGACGGCCATTTCAACCAGGTTCCGTTTCTGACTCGGGAGGATTTCCATCGTCCTTATCCCTTCTTCCAACAAGGGGACA